GTGGCAGCCTCCCAGGCATGTGAAAGGCGGACGTGTGAAGGCGGGCAGGGGCGTCGTGCCCCGCAGCCCACACGGACTCTGGTACGTGGCCTCTGCAAGCTGTGGGAAGGTTTTAAACGGTGCGTTTTGCTGCCACAGCTGTCACATCCTGCTTCACACAGTGGTTTTGCACTTTTTCTGTCATCATCCCAGTGTCGTGTCAATCACAAGCTATCTCAGCATGCTGGAGAGCACAGTGCAGGGGGATTTATTTTTGCAGAGAAAGACATTACTTGAGTCACCATAGGGCTGGTGGTGATGGAGGATCCCTCCTTTGTTCCCAAAAAGCACAAGGCTGCCAGTGCCAGGGGACAGGCTGTCCCCTCGGGCAGGTCGTTGGGTCCTTGCACAGGCCCTGGTCTCTGTCCCTCATCTCTGCAAACCCACCATCTGCTACAGTGTCCCCATTGGGATCAGCCAAGTGGCGATGGCCACTGAAGATGAGACCAAGAAATGGCTTCTCTGCTCTTAAAAATCCCAAACTACTTAGGGCACAATAGCTGTTAGGGCAGCCACTTCTCACCAAAGCAGGGCTCTGACCCAGGGAGACCAAACAGCACAAATGCCCCTCCCTCCCAGGGCAGGGCGAGGGTCCCACAGGCACCCATGGACCTCAGCGCATGAAGCCAAGGGACACCAGAGGCCAGGACCTTGGTGCACATGGGAAAGTGCATAGCCCACACTCCCATCCTCTGCAGGTACTGGAGCCTGCTGGAAGTAAATATATATTTCATATATATGTTTCCTATAATAGGACATAGAAATATATTAATGTTTATTATATACATATATTTTAATATGTTCTTTGCAATTATAATATATATACAAATACATACAAAAATACATATACACACAGAGTATGGTGCTCTGCAAGGAGAGGGTGTTAGCCAGCAGGCAGCCCTGCATATGGCTGTCTGCCTTGATGGAAACTACAGGCATCACACAACCAAGAGATGGATGAAACGGCCACAAGCCAAGTGACATCCACTCTCCTGTCCTTGCTGTACCCAGCTCCCCTCATTTACCACCCATGCATGGGATTTGGGGCTGCCCAGAGTGGGAGGGGAAAGGAGCAGTGCTGCTGAGTGTGAAACCCAGTGTGTCTGCGCAGCGTGATGGTGGCGTGGCACCAGGGATGCTTGAGAGTGTGGAGGAAGTGCCCACGGGCACCGACCTCCCCATTGCAGGCAGATGGTGCAAACATTGCAGGAGTCCTCCAGGGATACTGGCCATGAGAGGCCTGCCTCCCATTTTGCCAGAAAGCAGATATTCAGCAAAGCACAGAAGGGGAGTTGCGGCTGGCAGACTGCAAGATCTGTCTCTGCTGTTGAACACTTTCCTGATTAATTGTGATGAGGTCGCCGCTAGCGTCAACACTTCCCCTTCAGCCCTATTGATAAAACCCAACTCCCTCCTCTGTGCTGCTCAGCACCTTGCTCCATCCCACCGAGCATGCCCAGTGCCCTGAGAGGCTGACATGTCCCAGCTTTGCTCCCTGCCCACACTCAGAACAGCACCAAGCCCTTTCCTTGTGCGCCTTCCTTGAGGCCACCTTCACATTTTCTGGCTTGCAGACCGTTCAGGAGCATCAGCCCTGCCTGGGACATGCCATGTATATAACATACAGTGAGCAAGAGATGCTCCATAAATGGAATACCCTGCTGGTTTCTGCAAAAGGCTCTTGGTGAAGCAGAGCCCTGGTCCTGAGCCACCCAAATCACGTAGTGAGAAGATCAGAGCTCAGGGCCAAAGAGGACACCTGGGATCCTCCTCAGCATTCCCCTGATGCCACCATGCAGCCCTGGCCAGGGAGCAATGCCTGATGGCAATGTGCCCTGCCCCTAGCCAGGGCGCTTGGTCTCAGCACCTTGCTTCCCATACTGGGATGGAGGTGGTTGCAAAGCTCTGCAGTTCTGCTTATTCACACCGGGGCAGGAGGATGGACTACATGCATCCCTCTGCTTACCTTGGTTTATGAAAAAGAGGAAAAAACCCAATAACAGAGCAGAGCACACCTAGGAGAAGAGTACCCAGGACTGGCAGTGGCAATGCAAGTCCAGGACTGAGCCGAGGAGATTGCCAAGGGGGTTGGAGAAAACGCTGCTGAGGCTCGTACCTAGGTCTCGTTAACGCAGAGAGTCAGAGCAGAACCTGTTTTCCCAACCTCTGAACACGGTAAGGGGGCAGACAAAAGCAGAAGCACCATATTACTCTCTTTGAAAGTCACTCTACGTCACATGTACACTCATCCACCCACCAGTGAATAATTTCCTTCCACAGCAGAAGAAAAGTGGTGAGCCGGTATCAGGGTGTGCTTTACATTCTTGCAACAAGAGAAAGAAATTACTTTTGGAATTAGGCAACAAAATCCAGCCCATGAGATGAACCCTACATTACAAAACTCAATAGCAGCCAGAACTGGGCATGTGTGGAGGTTTCCACTTTATTTCTGGGGTCTGGGAGCTTTTTTTAAATCCAGTTTTAACTGGAATCTTGCTCTAGTTTATGAAATGAGCCTGCAAGTAGGAACCTCTAACCTCCAGCAAGGAAGAGCCTCAGTCCATCCCATCATCACACCATGCCTTGGCATGGCAGCAGGAGTTAAACACTTGGAAACACTGGGCAGGTGGGATGGCAGGAGCTCATCCAACCCGTGGATTTGGTACCCACAGCCTGTGTGGAAACTTCTAGGTTGTAGAAGAGCTGGAGCCTGGTTAGACTAATTTGGGGTATCAATCAGCTGAGTGCTGTAGGAAATAGGGGTGGGAGCAGCTCCTTTGTCCTGACAGCAAGGGCAGCCCTTGGTGGGCAAGAGCCTATTTCCTGGGCCCTGTTTCTTGGAGGGTGTTGCAGAAATATGAGCTCACACTATTTTCAGCATCCCCGGGGTACCACTAATTAACTAGACATGTCCAGGAAAGCAGAGCAAGCAGCAACTAGTAACAAATGAAGAGCATGAATACAGCTAAGAGTACAGCAAATGTGGCCATGAAGGAGCCAGCTGTGCCTTGGAGTGTGATGTAGCACTTGGACATGTTCTCAGGTTGGGCTGGCACAGATCACTGGGCACATCACAACCACAGGGTGCTACAGCTCAAATGGGTGATCAGAGTAATTTCCCAGCAAGGTGTACCCAGGGGGGTCCAACATGGCTAGCCTGCCTTGATAAGAGCTTTTGCTGTTAAGACCTTTTTATATTTATTTTTTTCACCTAAGTGTTTTTACCTGTTGTCTGCAAGGTCAAGCAGCACTGGCAGAATCTGGAGGTGACAGAAATGTGTTGGGCCAGCTGAGTGCCTATCATGCCAAGAGAGCCCCTGCAGCTGTGATGATAAATGATGCCCTTAAAAAAACTTACCTAAGTGGACTGTGGTGGTGGACAGGGACTTGTGGAGGACGTCTTTGTGAAGAAGGGTTCTGTCCACTCACCGCAGGATGATCTTGGACCAGACATGGCAGAGTGAGCTCCTGGGTCCTGTCACTGTATGGGTTTGACCAGGTGACCACAGAGGCACCTCTTGTTGCCTGTGCAGCCATGCCGTGGCAAGGCTGATGGAACTCTGCCAGGGGGGCTGTCTCCAGGGCAGAGTGGATTTCCCAAGGCTGCAAACATTTACATCCAGATGGCCCCTGCCATAAGTAATGTTGGCAACCAGCCTTAGCAGGCCTACCACATCTCCAAATCCATAATACAGCTGGGCACCAACCTCACTGTGCAAATGTCACTGAAATTAAAACCACTGACCCACCTAGAGCTTCTTTCTGCCCTGGGGAGAAGACCAGACCTCCTTTCAAGGCTGACCAGTGTCTTCCTTCGCTTCTCTGGCATCTTACAGAGGCTGACAAGCTAAGAAAGGACATCCTGGTGTCTCAGAAGGGGATCTGAGCAGTCCTACATGCTAACCTGGCCTCAGTGCATTTAAAGCTTTCCCTTGTTTCCTCGTTTCCATTTCACTCTGAGCTGTTAATTCAGCAGGTTCACAGGAGGGGGTGATGGCACTCTGTGAAACTGGCAAGAGCCAGGGTGTGGTTGTTTTCTTGCTCAGGGCAGCACAAGTGCTATTTCAAAACCAAGGACCTGTTTTTGGGATATTGTGTCTAACACTGCTAAAAATGGCAACATTTGTTCTTTCTTTGTGCTTTCATATTCCTTTTTCCTCTTTTAATGAATTCCTCTTTTCTCACTTCCTTGTGAGTGCCCATGTTGCAAGGCTGCTGCTTTGTTGGGTTTTGCTCCAGGGCTGTGCTGTGAGGAAGATGTTAGGAGAAATGACAGCATTAATGAACATGATGTTATTGGCACCATGGGAAGAACACTGAAAAATCACTCCCTGAGAAAGAGTGAGCCAACTTTATGGATAGCATAAATTTCTGGGAGCAGGAGATGTATTTTGGAGCAAGAAACAAGTAGTGTGAGCAGCTAGAAGAAGCACCATGCAAACATACCTGTGAAGAACAAGGTCTCTGTCATGCTCTGAAATTCCGGTGTACCTGAGGGTAGCAAGTGCTTCTGGGGTTTGGCGTTTCACTACCTCAAATTCTTCATTTCCTTGATGATTCAGTCAAATGTGAAGCAAGTAGTAGATGACTTTTTTTTTTCCATGTATTTAGCACACCACGCTAGTTAATAGAAATGGTCCTTTTTAAAATTTTGATTCCTATTTCCATCCGAATATAGCTCAATACAGAAGCTGAAAAAAATCACATCTAGAAAAAGCTAAATGCAATACTTGAGATTTTCCAGTGTTACATAGATCTAATTATTTATGTTAAAGAGTCTGGATAAACACTACATCAAGCTTTGCAAGCAGTTCAGCTGTTTGCATAGCAATACAGTGCAAGTTCCCGCTCTGCTGACTTCCACATTTACTTCAAAAGTTATGTTTATTGGAAAAGGGCTTATTTTTGTGAGAACATGCCAGCACCCATCCTGAGTCAGCCCACAGACCAGGGCTACAGGGATGCTTTTTGTCTTGCAGAAGATGTCCCGCGACGGCTGCTCCTGGCTGCTGGCAGTGACCTGGGCGCCGCTGCTGGTGATGACAGGTGAGCCCCACCTGCCATTCCTCGCTGCCTTCCTCCCGGCATCCTACCTGGGCAGTGACATAAGGGAGGGACCCAAATGCTGCCCAACAGGGGTGGTAATGTGCCATTGAGAGGTATGCAAGGGCCAGGTTCTGCTTTTCCTGGGATCTGGAGTTAGCTTGAGCCAGCCCAGGTGAGGGGCAGCAAGACAGGTGAGCACCTTGCCACGCCCCTCCAGCATGGGTTTTATAGGCAGGGCGGGCTCAGGGCAGCATGGGTGCCCAGTGCTGGTGTCAGAGCACCCCATGGCTGCTGCTGCTGCAGACCGGCTTCCCCCAAGTGCCCTCCACACCAACTCAGTCTTCTCTCCACTTCAGCCTTTGCCATGGAGTGCCCCAAGATCAAGGTGGGGACGTGCAAGGACTGCATCCAGTCTGGTCCTGGATGTGCCTGGTGCAAGGAACCGGTAGGTCCACATAGCCTCTCGTGCTGCCGGCCCCCAGCAGCCCGCGAACAGGCGGCGGGACGGTCACTCTGCCTGTGGTAGAGGGGAAGGGCTGCGGCGTGTGCGGCGTGTCAACCTTTCGTGTCCTACGTGGTGGATGGGGCCGGGGGGATCTGATAGGCAGGACCCTTCAACCTTCCTTTCTCCATCAAATGGCCTGGAAACCTGGCTTGGGAGCTGGGTCATCTTGCAATGAGCCCGTTCGCTCCCTGCTCCTCTGATCTTTTCCCGCTGATGTTGCAACACGCAGAGCTTCACCAAAGCCGGTGAGCCAGACTCCATCCGCTGCGACACCATCGAGGAGCTGCAGCAGAGGGGATGCCCGCACAACCAGATTGAGTTTCCAGTCAACAACATTACAAGAACACGGGACAGTCCGTTAAGCAGTGACATACAACTGACTCCCCAGGAGGTGCACCTGAAACTGAGGATAGGTACAGTCTGCCTGGTGCTCCCGATGCCCTTCTGCTCATCTCCAGGCCCAGCTGGGACGTGGTGGCATGTCACAGTCTGTGTTTAAATCATAGAATCATAGAATGCTTTTGGTTGGAAAGGACCCTTAAAGATCATCTTGTTAACTCCCCGTGCAGTGAGCAGGGACATCTTCAACCAGAGCAGGTTTCTCAGAGCCCTGTCCAACCTGACCTTGAGTATTTTCAGGGGTGGGGCACTTACCACATCTCTGGGCAACCTGGGCCAGTGTCTCACCACCCTCAGCTTCCTTTTCTTCCAAAAGAGATAGGCATCTCAGCAGAGGGTGAGCAATGGGGCAAGATTTGAGCCACAGAACAACAGCTGATCCCAGCACTCCTGTTCCTCAGGCCAGCCTGCTGTGTTCGAGGTGAAGTTTCGCCGTGCTGTGGGGTACCCCATTGATCTCTACTACCTCATGGACCTCTCCTACTCCATGCTGGATGACCTGGAGAAGGTGAAGAAGCTGGGAGGGGAGCTGCTGAGGGCGCTGGAGAGCACCACCCCTTCTCGACGCATAGGTGAGCTTGTCTTCAGCACAGGACGCCGGCACAGCTCTCTGCTACTAGGAGGAGCTGCAGGGCTAGAGTGGGATGCAGGCAGCAGGCAGCGTTACCTGCCCCTGCCAGGCTGGAGAGTGTGCTAGGGCAAAGAGCGTGGACCACAGCGGCCAGCAGATTGTCCGTGCCCTGTGCCATGGGGATGCCTGCTGGTCCCTGCCACCCCTGCCA